GCAGCAGCAGCAGCAGCAGCAGCAGCAGCAGCAGCAGCAGCAGCAGCAGCAGCAGCAGCAACAGCGCAGCAGCGGGAAGAGATGATGCGACTACAAGCTCATGAGACACGCCATGCATAGGCCTATGCTGCTGCCCATGTCAAGCAGCAGCAGAAGCAGCAGCAGAAGCAGCAGCAGAAAACAGACCAGCAACGACAGCAGAGAAGGAACAAGGAAGAGCAGCAGCAGCAGCAGCAACAGCAACAAGAGCAGTGGCATCAGCAGCAGCAGTAGCAGCAGCAACAGCAGCAAGAACAGCAGCAGCAGCAAAAGGCCGCACCTGCGCATGCATCTCCTTGGGCATTTCGGCCCCCATAGACAAATAGAGAATCCCTAAAAACACCTGCAGAGTGCCTGAAGCAGCAGCAGCAGCAGCAGCAGCAGCAGCAGCAACAGCAGCAACAGCAACGAGTTCCGAAGTAGCGGGACCTCCAACAGCAGTGCTGGCCATGCTACCTAGAAAAAGCAGCAGCAGCAGTATGAGCGACAGAAAAGAGCAGCAGCAGCAGCAAGAAAAGCTGCAGCAGCAAGAAAAGCAGCAGCAGCAGCAGCAGCAGCAGCAGCAGCAGCAGCAGAAGCAGCTGACCGCATGCGCGGCTCTGGAGAAGACCCTTTTGTGGTGAGGCGGCGCCAAACCCTTTCTTCTGGGTAGAGCCTGAAGACTTCGTTTGTCAAGTAGGCCTCGTTGCTGCTGCTGCTGCTGCTGCTGCTGCTGCTGCTGCTGCGGATGCCTCCAAAGATAATAATGGAGCCCCCCTCAGGGGCTGCTTCTGCTGCAGCAGCAAACTTGCGCTTTGCAGCGTCGTGGTCTAGCCGCTGCTGCTGCGGCGGCTGCTTGTGCTGCTGCTTTGCAGGGACGACAGCAGCAGGCTTGGGGCCGCCGCTGCTGCTGCTGCTGCTGCTGCTGCTGCTGCTGCACCACAGAGAAGCAGAGTGCAGCGCATGCCCCGGAGCATTTGTCTGAGACCCTTCAATCATCCAAAAAGAAGGAGGCAGCAGCCACAGCTCCTTCCGGGAGTGCCACTGCAGCTGCAGCAAGTCGAAAAACCAGCAGTCCGACAGTCTGCAGCAGCAGCAGCAGCAGCAGCAGCAGCAGCAGCAGCAGCAGCAGATTTGTATTGGCCTTTGGCTGAGTGAACGCCCTGTCTAACGACCGCCCCTGCGGGGTATCTGCTGCTACCCCTGCAGCTGCTGCTGCATCTGCGCCTATTCCGCTAGCTATTCTTGCTGCTGCTGCTGCTCGGCTAGCTGCTCTTGCTGCTGCTGCTGCTGCTGCTGCTGCTGCTGTAGGCCTACACTTTGCCCTCTGAGTCGATGCCTCCGTAAAGAACCAACACGGGGCCTTCTGCGGAAGATTTAAAAAGAGTGAGAGACATGAAGCTGCGGGGGCATGGCAGCAAACTGCTGTCAGCAGCAGCAGCAGCAGCAGCAGCAGCAGCAGGGCTCTCTGCTGCTGCTGCAGCATGCTGGCTGCCAGGCAGCAGCTCAAGCCACGTGTCTTCTTCCATGTCATATGCCCATAAGTCGCCCAGCAGTTTCGGCTGCAGCAAACGAACATTTTTCCTGAGGGCCTCTTGCAGCTGCTGCTGCTGCTGCAGCTTCCGCTGCTGCTGCTGCTGCCGCAGCTGCTGCTGCAGCGCTTCCCCTCCCGCGTCCAAAGCTGCGCGGGCTTTCCGCAGCCGCTCCAGCATCTCCCGCCTCTCAGAGGCGCTCTCCTGCTGCTGCTGCTGCTTCTGCTGTTGCTGCTGCTGCTGCTGTTGCTGCTGCTGCTGCTGCTGCTGCTGTTGCTGCTGCTTGCCGCTGTTCCTTCTCCTGTGTGCGCCGGTAAGGCCCGCGCTGCTGCAGCAGCTGCTGCTGCTGCAGCGCCTGGGGGGCGCCGCGCGTCTGCTGCTGCTGCGGCGCAGCAGCAGCTTCTTGAGGGGCCCCGGGGGCCCCTCCGAGGCCCCCCGGCGAGCAGCAAAAGGGGGGCCCCCAAAAGGGTACAGAGCAACCCCACCAAACACCACCATGAGGGGCCCCACAGCTGAGGCCCCCTGGCCAAACCTCCCTGGGGGTTGGGGGCCCCACTTGGCCACTTGCTGCCAAAACCGAACGCCTGCCCGCAAACCCTAAACCCTAAACCCTAAACCCTAAACCCTAGGCCCTAAACCCTAAACCCTAAACCCTCGGGAGGCGAACGCGTCGACGGCGCTTCTGCTTCGGGGCTAGCCGCTGCAGAAGGCTCAGCTGCAGGCCTAAGGGCAACTCTGCGGGCTAGGGTTTAGGGTTTAGGGTTTAGGGTTTAGGGTTTGTGGAAGGCCTACAGCGCAGTGGGGGGTTTCTCAGGGGAGGAACTGCCCCTGGGTTTGCGTTTGGGTCTGTACAGCAGCAGCAAAAGAAGCAGCAAGAATAGGTAAACTGAGCAGCAGCAGCAGCAGCAGCAGCAGCAGCGGCAGCAACAGCAGCAGCAGAAGCAAAGGGA